AAAGCGCATGGTGGAGTGGACTGGGGGGTTTGGATTGTATAACAATGAAGGATTTTTATTTTTATTTTTTTTTTACTTTTCAAAGAGAAAAGCAAATGGGAGGAGGGAAGGGCAGGGAGGAAAGTGTGCAACAGTGAATGAATGGAAACCCAAAGTCCCTGTAAACTTTCATTAAAATAAAAATAAATAAATAAGTAAATAAAACAAAAAGTCTGAATTAGGGCATATTTGTAAACTAGTTTTGTTGTTTGGAAGCACACGAAACAAGGCTAAGTGTTAACCTGTGGGAACCCAGGGGGTAACCTGTTTTAATGAGTAGATACGGTGTATCTGAAAAATTAGGAGCATTCCACAATATTGTCAAGCATTGCTTCTATAGTTCTGTCTACACTCTATTAGAACAAAGATCATCCTTCCAACCTGGTATAGCAAAATTATTTTATGATTATATATTAGATAATTACTTAACACGTTATCCTAAAACTTATATAAACAATAAATGTCTTTTCTCTCATGAAGTTTCTGAGGGTTAAGAATCTAGAAATGACTTAGCTGTGAAGTTCTGCTTCCAAGTCTTGTGAGATATTAGTGAAATTGTTGGCCAGGAATACAGGCTCTGAAGATTTGCCTGGGACTGAAGCATCTTGTCCCATATTTACTCAAGAGACTGGTGGAAGGAAACATTGGTTCCTTACTACATGGGTTTCCCATGACATGGTTTCCACCAGAGTGAATAAAGACTTAACTAGAGAACTGGCATTGATGTCCTTTAGTATATATAATCTTGAAGTGGCATGCCATTCCTTTTGCATCCTTGTTGCTGGCCCACTCTGGGAAGGGACTACAGGGTGAGTCCACTTGTGAGTGACCTCGTGTGGCTGTTGGAAGAGCATTCCCTTCCCTTCCTCCTCACGGGGACCTTTCCATGGAGCTGCTCATGCATGGCGTCCCGAGAGATCATGGTTTGGGAGGGAGCAAGAGCAGGAACCGTGATGGAGGCCACCCAGTTTCAGAAGTGACATACCACCACTGCTGCCACGTGCTGTGGGGCACACAAAGTGAAAGAGATTTTCCAGTGGGAATCCTAGGGATGGCCCTAGAGGCGGAAAGCTGTAACTGCATGTATCTAGTTACCTCGGGCTGCTGAGGCAGAAGTACCACAGAGTGATGACTTTAAATATAAGAGTACGGAATGAGGGTTGCAGAGTGGATTATATTTGGGGTTGGGGATGGGGTTGGGGGATGTGCGGGGGGGATTGTGTACCAATGAGGGAGTTTTTCTTTTGCTTTTCAAGGAGAGGAGCAAATGGGGGGGGGGGGGGGGGGGGGGGGGGGGTGGGCGGGGAGAAGGGTGCAACAATGAATGAATGGAATTCCAAAATCTCTGTAGATGTTCATTGAAATGAAAAATAAATAAATTAACTAATAAATAAAAAAAATCAAGGAGTGATTAAACAAGTAAGACTTGCTTATTACCAGCCATTTTGACATTGTGTGGAATATATGGCATATAAAAAAGTTATTCCAATTATTATCATCAAGTGGCATGCTTCTTTTCTGAGCCAGTAAGCAAAAATGTAAGGAGTAAACCTTCAGTGCCAGCTGGAAAACCAATAAACTTCTGAAGAAGAAAAAAAAACCCAAACAAACCAGAAATTGATTATTTCAGAGTTTTGGAGCTTAGAAATCCAAATCAGGGTGGATGTTAGGTCTAGAGCCCTGCCTGGCTGAGAGCCCCCAGTTTGCCTGCAGGCTTTCACAGTATCTCATTCTTTTCTTCGAGTGTACTTCCTTCTCTGCTCTCTTCTTATAAGATATCAGGTTTAAAACCTGTCTCAACCTGCTCTGATCTTTCACACAGAACAAGAAGAATCTAATTTCCAAGCATTCTCAGGCACAGGGCTTAGGACTTTAACGTTTTCGTTCAGGGTTCACAATTCAGTTCCTAACGGCTTGTGACCAGCCAGATGCTCCCCTGCTGGTGCTGATATTTGAGTTGAATGAGAGACTCAAAAGAGTGGAATTATCCACTCAGGTCCAGCTGTGAGAATGATTCCACCTGTTGCTTAGCTATTAGCTTGCTTTCTTCTGGAAACTCCTGGTAATAGTCTAAAAACTTGCTGTGCATTAAGTTGATGTAGTTCAGTACCACATAATGTAACATAATCATGGATGTCACACAAGGGGACCACATTCATGGAGCCAGTTAGTCTCCCATCATAGGTTTCCAGGGTTATTTTGTACTATTCTGAATGCAGCTTTTGTATAAATTTGAAAACAATAAATGCAAATACAACTTTTATGTAAATTTGAAAACAACAGTAAACTCAATTTATTTCCTTAAAGTCAGAACTGACTCATAACTGATCCTCCAGCAGCTTGGGTTTTTTTTTAATTTTTTTTAAAATTAATTTTAATGAACAGAGATTTTGGTTTTCCATACATTCATCGTTGCATTTTTCTCCCTGCCCACTCCTCCCCCCAACTTCGCTTTTCTCTTTGAAAAGTAAAAGAAAACTTATTTCATTGGTATAGAATCCGCCCATCCCGCCCCAAGTACACTCCATTATGCAACCTTCATTCTGGACTCTTGTCATAACCATAATACACAATCATACATCACTTTCAAACCATTCTCTCCCTCATCTCTTTCAATGCAGTATACATAATTTATCCAATTTTTCTCAGTCTCCACCCAACCCCTATGTCAGTCCTTTTCTACAATAGTGGCACCATGCAGCACCTGTCCTTTTGTGACTGAGATATTTCACTCAGCATAATGTCATCCAAGGTCACCCATTTTGAATAATATTGCATGAGTTCCTTGTTTTTCAATGCAGTGTAGTATTCCATTGTGTGAATATACCACAGATTTTTCTATCCATTCGTTTGTTGATGGGCACTTAGGTTGTTTCCAACTCTTTACTATTGTGAACAAAGCCACAATAAACATGGGTGTGCATATATCTGCTTGGGTGGTAGTTATGGTTTCTTTAGGGTATATTCCCAGTAATGGAAGTTCTGGATCAAATGGTATTTCTTTTTTTTTTTTGAGAGAGAGCTCCATACAGCTTTCCATAGCGGTTGCACCATTTTATACTCCCACAAACAGTGAATAAGAGTTCCAGTTTCTCCACAACCTCGCCAGCATTTATTGTTTGCCGCTTTGTTAAATTTTGCTATTTTTACTGGAGTGAGATGATATCTTATAGTTGTTTTGATTTGCCCGGCAGGTTTTTGGAGGCTATAAATCACATGGGAGGAGGATTGCCCCTCTTTCTTCTAAGGTGATGCTCTTGGATTCAAACTGCCAAAGAGGTGCCATCTGTGGGTTATCAGGGCAACTCCCCACCCACTAGGACACCAGAGCTCATAAATGTGATTTTTTTAAAAAAAAAATGTATTTGGATGAACAAGCATAGTTTGTGATGTTCTTGTTATGTGCCTTTGAGTCACTTACAACTCATAACAATCTGATGTACAGTGGCTCTGAACCCTGCTGTATCTTCAGCCAATCTCACTATCTCTGCCACACCTATCCTCATTATCCCATTTATTGTGTCAGTCCATCTCATCTAGGGTCTTTCTCTCCCACGCTGCCCATCAACCCTTCCAAGCATGATATCCTTCTTCAAGACAGGTCCCTCTTGGCAACATATCCAAAGTATGTGGGATGGAGCTTAAAAACCCTAGCCTCCAAGGAGCAGCCTGGTTTCACCCTCTCGCAGACAGACCTGTTTGTTCTCTTAACACTCCATGCTATGTTCAATACTTTTTCCCAGCACCACAGTTAAAAGGCATTGATTTTTCTTCTGTTATCCTTATTCATTTTTCAACTCTCTGATGCATAGCAAGTAATTGCAAAGACTGTTACTATTATCAACCACACTTTAGTCTCTAGACTGACAACATTACTCTTCAGTACTCTGGAGAGGTGCCTGATAGCAGATTTTTCCTAGTGCAGTTTGTCTTTTGATTTCCTGACTGCTGGTACTAAGACTGTTGATTGTGGAGCCAGGCAAGCTGAAACTGTAAACAGTCTCAATCTCTTCTCTATCATGATGCTGCCAATTGGCTCAGTGGTGAGAATCTGTTTTCTTGATGTTGAGCTCCAATCCATATTGAAAGCTACAGTCTTTGACCTTCTGCAGAAAATGTCTTCAGATCCTCAATTTTAGTAAGCAAGATGGAGTCATTGGCATAACGCAAGTTGTTGATGAATCTTCCTCCAATGGCACATTCTCCCTCATAAAGTCCAGTCTCCCAAATGATCTGTTTTGTACATAGATTGAAAAGGTATAGAGATAAGATATACTCCTTGTGTACACCTTTCCTGATCTTAACCATGCAGTGTTTCCTTGCTCTGTTCTGATGACTGCTTCCTGGTCCAAGTATCAGTTTTGCATAAACACAGTCAAGTATTCTAGGATTCCCATTCTTCTCAAGTTTAGCCAAATTTTTTTGTGATCCACACAGTCAAATGCCTTTGTTTGACAGTGAAACACAGATAGGCATCCTTCTGGTGCTCTCTGCTTTCAGCTAAGATCCATCTGACATTGGCAATAATGTCCGTAGTGCTACAGCCTCTTCTAAACCCAGCCTACATATAATGGCAGGTCTCTTTTGATACACTGTTCAAACTTTTTAAAAATAATCTTCAGCAGAATCTTGCTTACATGTGATATTAATGATAGTATTTGCTAATTTCCATACTCTGTCAGCTCACCTTTTTTTTTTAATGGGAATAAATATGGATCTTTTCCAGTTGTTGGCCAGGTGGTTGTCCTCCATATTTCTTGGCACAACCTGGTGAGGATGTCAAGGGCAGCATCTGTGTGTTGAAATATGTCAATTGGTATGCCATCAATTTCTGGCACTTTGCTTTTTGCCAATTCCTTCAAGCATTGTTTAGGAAGTTAAAAATGTTACAGTAGTGAATTGGTGTTCTTGGTGGTGCCATTTTTCATAACAGTACTGCTTTCTTGCTCCTTGCCTTCCAGGCCACCATCAGATCAAGCAAGGAACCTGTGAGGTGGTAGCTGTGCACCGGTGCTGCAATAAGAACCGCATTGAAGAGCGTTCACAGACGGTCAAGTGCTCTTGCTTCCCAGGCCAGGTTGCTGGCACCACTCGGGCACAGCCCTCTTGTGTAGAAGGTAAATCTTTTCTGGCTGCTTTGTTTCAACCTTTTGAGAAAACATATTATTTTCTTTATAACTCGAAGTGTCTAGGTGATTTCCAGGTATACATCAGTCCAAAAGTAAACATATGTTCTACTTCCACAATTTCTTGCTGAATGAGGTTAGCATTAGTGAGAGGTACTAGAGAGGAGATAGAATGCAGGATATCTAGAATATGTGCTTACATCCTCCCTCGCCAAGCCATCTTTTCAACTATCACCTTCAAAGGAGAGGCTTCCTCAAGTATTTTCTTCTCACCTTGATCAAGCCTTGTACTTAAAAAAAGTTCCCTCTGTATATTTTCTCTTTTATAATGTGCTTTTCACATTGCTGCAGACCTTAGTTACATTCTAGGGAAAGAGTGTTTCCTTTTAAAAAAAGGCGCATTGCCATGGGAAGGTCTGCTGTTAGGGACCTCTCCAAAGTACTGAAGAGCAATGGTGTCTGTCTGGAGACTAAAGTGCGTCTGATACAGGCCATGGTCTTCACAATCACTTGTTATGCATCAGAGAGTTGGACAATGACCAGGGAGGATAGAAGGAGAATTGACGCCTTTGAGATG